GGTTTGCGTGAGAAATTAGGACCTGGGCTTTTTCTGGTAAGAACAAAGTTTTCACGTCTCCAGATTCATCTAGAGTCGCCTCTACACACACCCACACACGTATCCGAACACGCCAATTTTATCATATCTTCTGCTTCTTCTTCTTCTCTCTCTCTCTCTCTCTCTCTCTCTCGCGACACACACACCCACACACACAGTATCGTATCTTCTTCCCTTCCCAACCTAAACCCCATTTCTTGTCATGCTTTTAAGATGTTATTACTGCTTGAGACTTCTGCCATGTTTGACTAACTAAAAATATGTTATGGATACCATTGGAATTAATGGAACATTACAAAGTAGGATCTCTCTCTCACAAATCACATCTTCCTCAAATGTCTTTTGTGCTTCAGCAGCACTGCTAGAGACTTACCTACTAAACAAACAAGAAATTCGTTGTTGTTGATAGCCCAGGATGATATAGTCAACCGAATGCCGCATCTTGACGTACTTTGAGGCACAAGGATTAGAAGTTTTTCATATTATATAACAAGTTTGGTTCTTGCGACCTCGATGACAATCTTTTTCCTGGTGAAAATGATGCTTGATGACTTTATCATACTTACATCGCATCTCTCATACGACACTGACTGTTTCTTCTTCTTCATTCTGAACATATTTGTTTATATTATATAAATGCACGCTCCACCTTCTATATACTTGTGGTTGATGTCACTGTATCAATAATAGTGTTCTTTTGAACTGGATAATGGGGGGGGGGGAGTTATACTTGCATTGTATTGGCACACAACTATATAATATAGTTAGATTTATTATACAGGATATTAAATGGAGCATTCATAAGCTCTCGTAGAATTCCATGAATGATAGGATTTTGATTTGATTGATTGATTGATTGATTGATTATGGGTAAGGATTATAAGTCTAGGTAGTGCAATAAATGAAGTAGACCAGTGCCAAACTTTTGATGGTGTATCAATTTGAGAAACTATGTCATGATTGTAACGCTTGACCAGCACTTGATTGTGTGTTTCTCAAGTGGATAGCACTTTTTGGCTGCCGCCGAAAGTCATAGCTCTAATCTACATTTAGCATTGGTCGGAAATTATACAACGACCGTGTTACTGTTTTAGCTTCACTGTATCTTTTATTTTAGTTCTTCTATAATAATCATAAACACTTGTTTTTTTATTATGAGTTTTATTTTATCAGAATTTAATACGTATATTTTTTAATTATTCAATTATTTTATTTAACCAGATTAGTCAATACTTATATTGGAGTATGTGGATTCAAAATGGTTGACTTTTGGTCACCAAAAATTTTGGAATCAACCATTATGAATTTCTAATGTGGAAAGTTAGTACAATTTGTCATTAATTTAGTTTTCATTATGAATTTGCACTTATTTAGTTTCCAAAATAATATTTCTTTTTAATTCTTGGTCTCGAAAATAGCTTCTCACATATTTCAATTTCAGTTTATGTATTAAAAATTCTATTAATAACCTAATATAATCTATCAGATTTTACTGCATCTTATTAGATGTCTTAACTATTCCTCCATGGTTAATTTTCAAAATCTTTGGTGTAAAAGATCTGAAGTCCATCCGCCCCAAATAATTATCTAGTATTTTGTAACCCTTGAGAATTACAATAATTTCAGGTTCTATTTTTTAGAAACTGTATATTATAGTTTCTTTTTTAAAAAAAAAATATATATATATTCTTTATAATTTTATTTAATCTCAGTCT